CACCACCCTCCTAGTGAAATAGTTTTTCCTGATATCCAACCTGGACCTCCCCCACTGCAACTTGAGACCATTGCTCCTTGTTCTGTCATCTGCCACCACTGAGAACAGCCGAGCTCCATCCTCTTTGGAACCCCCCTTCAGGTAGTTGAAGGCTGCTATCAAATCCCCCCTCACTCTTCTCTTCTGCAAACTAAACAATCCCAGTTCCCTCAGCCTCTCCTCATAAGTCATGTGCTCCAGCCCCCTAATCATTTTTGTTGCCCTCCGCTGGACTCTTTCCAATTTTTCCACATCCTTCTTGTAGTGTGGGGCCCAAAACTGGACACAGTATTCCAGATGAGGCCTCACCAATGTCGAATAAAGGGGAACGATCACGTCCCTTGATCTGCTGGCAATGCCCCTACTTATACAGCCCAAAATGCTGTTAGCCTTCTTGGCAACAAGAGCACACTGTTGACTCATCTCAGCTCTGACGATAACACGACTCAGTCCGGAGACACCAGCCTGGGCAGGGGCGCAGGCGGCATGCGGCCCAGTCTGCCTGCTGAAGGCTGGGGCAGTGTGTGTGGCACGGGGGCGCTGCACCCTAGGCGAGCGGCCAGTGCCGGAGAACCTGGGCGCTCTCTGCAATGATGGAGTTTCCTGGAGCAAACATCTTGTTCCCACAAGCTTCAAACAGCCCCAGCCCCGCAGCCCGCCACGGATCGATCCCTGAAAGACTCGCCGGCCACACGGCTGCGTTTGCAGTGCTGACCAGCCCCACTGGAGAAAGAACTGGCTGAGGCTCTGAGTTCGGCCAGGAGTTGGCCATGGAGGACCGCTCCCCAGCACACACGGCGGGGCAGCAATTGCCCAAGCACCTGTCCCAGCCCGGCCCAGCCCAGTCTCCAAGGAGCCACCAGACCCACGGCCGCCTGTTAGAATCTCGGGACTTTATCTCATGATAAAAACACGTTGACATGGATCACATTGAAAAAATAAAAGAGACGGAACAGGTTTAATACCCGCCGAGGAGAGTCTCTCTCCTCGCTCAGACACACGGCGAATGAGGAACGGGGCCGCAGCGCTCGGCTGGGCCGCCAAAGTGCAAGGTATAAATGCAGCATTTCGAGTGCTGATCACAGTAAAACCAGCGTGTAACAAGGGACACGGGAGTGAGGAGGTGAGTCGGGATTAAAAAGTGAGCTACAAAAGGCTTTAAAAAGTGAACGTGCCCCACAATAAATTAAACACGCTGCCTAGTGCACAGTGGTCTCCCCAGCCCCCCGCACGCAGCGCTCCCTGGTCTCCCCAGCCAGCCCCCCCTGCAGTGCTGCCTGGTCTACCCAGCCCCCCCTCTGCAGTGCTCCCCAGCTCCCCCAGCCAG